AAAAGCTTCCTAATTTATTAGGCTGCAACATCACAATCATACAGAAATCACACATTCAATAATCCTTAATATTTGATTAGGACTATTTGATTCATGAAATAAGCATACGACATAATCAAACGACAACGACAGGAAAAGAAAAAGGAATAACAGAAAACAGGAAACTATGACTAAGAGAGNGAAAAGCTTCCTAATTTATTAGGCTGCAACATCACAATCATACAGAAATCACACATTCAATAATGCTTAATATTTGATTAGGACTATTTGATTCATGAAATAAGCATACGACATAATCAAACGACAACGACAGGAAAAGTAAAAGGAATAACAGAAAACAGGAAACTATGACTAAGAGAGAAAGGCGATTCGATCTGTACGATTTTAGCTTAGAAGAAAGCCCCATTTTGCTTAAAAACTCCACAAACGGACTCTCTAAATCCTCCTCTGAAATGCTCTTCCTCTCCCCACCATAAGCAGCGGCTGCTGCTTCAAAATGCCCTTGCACCAGCTTGAAGAATTCCATCAACTGAGTCTTCTCAGTAAAGCTTAGTTTCCGGTCCTTGAATATTGCGCTACGTGAATCAGGTACATTCTCCAAATTGCCCTCACCGTCGTAGAAAAAACTCCCGTCAATGCTCTTGAACTCCATGTACTGATTCACCTCCGACTTCAAAATTAAATTAATCATAGCATCAGCACACAACAAAACCCTGGGCCCACTCAAATCAATGTTAAACTTTCGAGATTGTTCCAAGGGTTCCGAGGAGTAAGAGGTGATTTCTATAAAGGAGTAGAGCGCGCGGGTGGTTAGAGGAAGTCGGGTGAATCCCGAAGCGGTGTCAGGTTGTGGAATTGAGGGTTCGGAGGAGGATTGAGATTGGATATATGATACGAATTCGTGAAGGGGAAAAGAAGCATAGTGGCTACCGTATGAAGGGTTAGGGTCGAGGTGAAGGACTGATTTTCCAGCGGCGGAGGCAGCGGCGGCTAGTATGGACTCCGGCAGACCGGTGCCGACCACTATAAGGTCGAAATTGGATGGTTCAATTGGAGGATACGACCCACTTTCATCCATCGGCTCGGCGAACCACGAGCAGGCTGTCAATATACAGAGAAAATAATAAAAGAGAACTTTTCGTAAAGCACCACCTTTTAGCCCTAATTAGTCATTTATAGATACGCTTTGTTATATTACTTGTTATAGATAAATTATACAATGTATTTCATATATTTAAGCAGTTGTATTCATTAATACAACCAAAAAAATAGACGTAAAAACGGGAACTCCAGTTAATGGGTATCTGTATTTATCTGTATTCAAGCTGAATACAAATAAAATACAGTAACATTTTTG